ACTTAAATGAAAAATAAATAATCTAGAAAAAATATGATAATAATCAAACAAGACTATTAAAATCTATTATGAGCCTTTCATTCCTATAGTTAGTACATCTATTATTTAAAGTGATTATCTCATTTAATTTTGATTTTTTTATTATTATGCGATTTGAAATGAAAATATGCATCCATAGTGTAATTATTATTCACTGTGTAATTTTTGTTTTATATTTATACTTATACACATAAAATACTTTTTGTACAAAATATATACGAGAGTATGGTAAAAGGTGTTATAGTTCGGCACACGCTATTCCTATAGCAGTGTTTAATTTGACTAAAGATGTGAATGTATTTTGCTACTAAAAAAACTTTTTTTGAAAAGATATAAAAAACTTAAACAAGGACATTTTTGTAGGTGCGCATAGCAATTAGGCAGGTGCACGAAGCAATCCCCATTAAAATTGGGCGGATGGTTAGTAAAATAGCACTAGTGATTTGGGATGGAAAGTCTTCGGCAGCTTTAATATTATCTTGAATATCTAATTGCTCCAGTTGAGAATTGAATTTTCCTGATCTGCAGCGCTTCATCACACACAACATAATTTATTGCTATGACATCTTTCTTGCCTGATGGATGCCCTATATTAATTTCTGGTGCTTCATCATCAATTAATTTATTAATTACTTGATGCTCAGTACCATCAAGTTTTGTCTTTTGGTGTCTACTTTTTTTTTGTAATCATTATTTATTATTATTCTATTAATCAGAAGTTCAGAACCGAACCTTCCTACGATTCTTGCTCCCAATGATTCTTCCTACCTTCACGGAATTGCTCAGCGGCTACGAAGGGAAAGGATATTAATGAAGGTAACGGATTCGTGTGGTGAGAGGAGCAGCTTGAAAGGTGATGTAAGTCATGCTGGATTCGTCCTTTGGAGCCAGTACTGACGAGGCTGACTGTGATCAGATTCGGATTTAAATGTCTAGGGGCTCTGGAGGGTAGTTAGACTCCAGGATTATGGGAACGTAAGCCCCGACACCTGGATTATAAAAAAAATAGAAAAGAGGGAACGCATTTGTAGATTAGGGATGAATATGTCTAGGACTTCCGACTCGGGTAAAAAGGGGTAAAATCTATAAATAGTAGCGTAAAATGTGTTTTTATTTTTTTTTCAAAAACTACATATCCAAATCGCATGGAAAGTTACAACATAAACCAACTGTTATGATAACAAGAAGAAGGAAGAGCATCATGTTAAGATATGGACAGAATAGAGGGCATGTCAACATATTCAATATAACCACCCTTTGCTACTCGGGCCGGTTCCGGGCCCACCTATCCAGAACCGCCAGCCCGAGTCCAAGCCTAAGCAACGCCATGGGTCTGCCCCAACTATAAAGGCTTTGAATCAAGAAGCTCCTTGTAGCATTGTTTGACACGGTATGGCTTGGTTTAAACAAGCTCTTGTGGTATATGGAACTAGTCATATGGCCTGGTTTTGAGCTACCTTCACCGCGGGTTCTGTACTTCTGTGGATATGGAGTTACATTCCTTTATTGATGGACTCGGGCCGGGTCGGGCCTAGGCCCGGTCGGACCGCCGGGTAGTATGACATGGGCCCGGGACCGGCCCGAGGGTTGGACGGGTCCGGTCCGGGCCGGGCCACCTGCCCGGGTCACGGGTCGGGTCCGGTTCGGGCCGGGCCGGTTAAATATTTTTTTTATATAATTTATATTTTATAGTTTATAGTTTTATACGAGTATTAAAAACAAACTTCAATTGCATTTATTTGAAATGAAATAGGAACTACATTTGAAAATTAAAACAAACTTTAACAGATAAACATTTTGAAAATTGTAATCAATCGGAACTTCCCGCACCTCCCGATCCTTTGGCTTTGCCTTTGTCACATGACTTCATATGCTTGATTGCCATTCCGAATCCGCCAGAAACCCCCATGCTACATTTTTTCTCGCACCATTTGCAAATTGCGTACCACATCCCGGTCTTCGGGTCCTTCTGCTTATCAAAATTATACCGTATAATGGCATCTTGATTTTCCATCTTAACTTCTTAAGTATAAACTATAAAGTAGATATATAAATAATAAATATAATATATTGGAGAATAAGAGAGTAGAGAGTTAAGAATAGGATTTAGGAAGAATTGGAGAAGAGATATGAAAAAATGTTTAAGATTAGGAGTATTTAATTCACCTTTTTATGAAAGTTCGAGAACCTCCTACAGAAGGACTTAATTGACCTTTTTATGAAAGTTCGAGAACCTATTTGACATTTTTTCCTTCCTTTATCAACTTCTTAGATCAATAAAGAGACTAAGAGAGTATTTTGGAGCAACATAGAATCAAATCCAGTTGACCAAACTGTCGTTTGACTTGTCCTCACATATCCGGACTAGGGGTGGACTCAGGTCCGGGCTGGGTCCGGGTCGGGCCTAGGCCCGAGCGGGCCGACGGTTCAGGAGTGGTGGACCCGGGACCGGCCCGGGTAACCACTGGGTCCGGGCCGGGACAGGCCGGGTCCATTATCAATTTTTTTCCCTCTTCCTAATCAACCCCCCTCCCACCCCCAACCCCCCAAACCACCCCAAATGGCCCAAAATACCCAGCCTAACCCGAAAATTTAAAAAAAATTGAAAAAAAAAACAATTTTAGCCCGAACCGGGCCCGAGCCCGGCTGGGCCTTGTTTTGGGTGACCCGAGCCCGGACTGGAAAACCCACGGGTCAGGCCTACCTGTACCGGTCACTGACCGGGCCACCGGGTCGGGCCAGGCCGGAACAGTACCGATCCCGGGCCGGTTCCGGGTTGGGCCACCTGGCCCGAGTCCATCCCATAATCCAGACCAAATTAGTCTCGAAAGGATGGTAGTATATGAACCCAAGTATTTCACACAAACCCAAATAGGGATGGACCGGTTCCGGTTCGGGTCTGGGCCCGGCCGGGCCTCGGTTCATGGAGGGGAGGCCCGGAACCGGCCCGGGAACCCCCGGGTCCGGGCAGGGCCGAGCCTGGCCTCGGTTCTAATTTTTTTTTTTGGCTTTTCCTAGTTAACCCCCAACCCTCCCCCTCACCCCAAACCAACCCTAAGCACCTCAAATGGCCCAAAATACCCAGCCCAACCCAAAAACTTAAAAAAAAAATCAAAAAAAAGAAAAAAAAATTGGCCCGGCCCGGGCCTGAACCGACCGGGCCGGTTCACCTTTTGAAGGGCCCGAGCCCGAACCGCCATCTCACCGGGCCGGGTGGCCCGAACCAGCCAACCAACCGGTTCACCAGGCCGGTCCGAGCCCGCACAGTAGCGGGCCGGTCCGATTGGCCCGGCCCGAGTCCAACCCTAAACCCAAATCGAGGAAAACCAATGAGCCTCTTTAGATTTAGGGTATATTTGACACAACTAGCTGAAAAGATATATTTATGAGATTTTTAGTAACTATTAGTTTTAGTGACAAAAAATATCTTAAAAGGAAAAGGTGACACCTATTTAGTAAAAAGCTGGCAGTTTCATTTAGTTTTGTTTGGTGTACAAGCTATTGGGACTAACTAATGCTAAAAACTATACACTTCTCAAAAAATATCTTTAAAGACTTTAAATAATACAAAAGCTAAAAGGTGAAAATTGCAGTTAGCCAAGCCAAACTGGGGCTGTTTTATTCATTTTCGTGTAGGATTACATATACATACAAGATAGACATGAAAGGCAATTATGGGGCTTGAAGGCTAAAGCTCAATGAAGATGAACTAGCTAGACAAAAGCCTAGGGTTTCTATAAATGCTCCCTCTCACTCACACTTGATAAGGAGCATATCGGGAACCTAGTGTCTAGGAAAGTGTTTGGGCCAAGCACGTTTGGAGCCGGCTCTAGCATGTTAGGTTTACAGTAGTGGCTGTGGCTCAGACCACTATACCAACAATTGAGTATCCTTAAAGGTAGAAAAGAAATGGACAACTTACCCACACGGGTAGCTCAGTTGGTCGAGTGATGGGAAAATTGAATCAAGTGACCATGGTTCGAAACCCGCAGCGGCCGTGTGAAGGTTACAGAACCTGAAATAAGGCTGGACCTATGGTGCGCACGTGTATAAAGCCTACTACCGCTTTGCTGACTGAGTCACCGTGATTAACCTAGTCCCCACCATCCTTCGGGTCGGGGAGGAGGGCTCCTGGGGTGGGAGATTCCACCTTTTGGACCAAGAAATGGACAACTTAACATGGAGGCACAACCAATTTTAGACTGTTGAAACAACCGCTTTCCCATTTGAAACAAAGATGAGTAGAATCATAGCATTTGAATCCCCCCTCCACAAAGGTGTCAACTGTGTTTTTATAGTGACAGAAGGGAAAGTGTTCATGTGTTGATGCCTCAGCGCCAGACCCCTCCATAGTTATACGCTATGTTGCACGGAAACGGGAAAATCATGAGGAAATGGGAAACAGGAAACATCAAAGTTTGCTCAAAAACGCTTATTTGGAGAGTTTCCAAAGAGTTTCCAAGATTTTCCGAAACGGGAAACATACTCTTTCCCGAGAGTTTCCGTGCTACATAACTTATAGGACACAAACATTTGCACTACGCTACGGCTACCAAATGATACCGGGATCAAGAATACGCAGCACAGCCCTCAGAGCAAAAATAGGCAACACTCGTTTAGGAAGTCAGTGAGTCAGTCATCTACCATACATCTACCATACAGCAGTGAGAAGTGAGAACTAAAATGACTTCACCAATATGGCCCCTATTCTTTTTCTTTTTTTCACTCCTGAAGTCATCTGAGTCATAAGATCAATGGGCCCCACCCTCTGATTTGTGGGCTACAGGGTTGGTCCACGGACATCCATCCTCCGGGAAAGTTGACTTCTTTTAGCCATGCAGAAAAATTGTATCTAATTTTTTTAAAGTTCTTCAGTTCTTCCCATGTATGGAATTGCTCAAGATTAAAGATTCGAACTTTTGTTTAAACAATGAAAAGTGCTACCCTAGTATTATATATATTGCTGCTTAGAAAAAAGAATCAATAAAACACATATAGAATTCAGAACAAAAAATACATACACAAATAAATAATGTCTAAAGATGGTGCAGCCGCACAAGGCATCCCAATTCTAATGGCTGGCAATATCGCAACTCTTAAAAAAATAATACAGGTGGCCCAAAAAATAATTATCCATATAAACTTTATATTAAAAAATTTACACTTGGAAGAGCTTTTTACCAACGAGTGAACCGGTGGCAACATGCCAACATGGCTGGCTTGGCCAACCCTAGCTATGACAACCCTTCAAGAGCATAAGATTGATGTAGTCATGTAGAATAAACAGAGTATGACCCACACATTTCCCATGTATAAATTTAAAGAGGATGGTATACTTATTAAAACATGTCATGAAAGTGCAAACCTATGACACAGAAGGTTAATCACGCAATAGGAACCAGCTGCTATTCATCGGACACTTTGAAGAATGTATATGAGAGGATCAAGTTGTTGATACCATCCATCTTGGGATCTGTTTCAAACTCCGGATCAATGTAAAAAAATACCTACACATATATAGGATGTCTATTTCAAGCAAACATTTATAAAAAATGTAGTAATAATAAAAATGTAATTACTGAAACGAATCAAACGACACTATTAAAATAAAGTATTAGCGTTATTTACAGGCATGTCAATTTGTTCCCCAGGAAGAAGCCGCTGTTCCTCAAAGCAAAAGCACTGCACTTTATTGAAATACACTGCGGCCTGAAAAAAAGAAAATATTTGTTGTTTGTCATGTAGATTGTACTATGGTAGTAGCAAACAACCATAGAGAAACTCTTCTGAAAAACGCTAGGCACTACTCGGGGACTTATAGAACACGGCTTAGAAAAAAAATTAACATTAGTCTTCGACTCTTCGGGAGTGTTTCTAAAAACTTAAAAAAGAGCTCTTAAGCTTTTGGTTTAAAAAAGTTGAAATGCGTGTTTTGAAGTGTGACGATTTTTGCTTAAATTAATACAATTAAAAGCTAAAAGTTGGAAGCAAGTGCAAAAGTGTTTTAAATTGCTTTTCACATATTCTATAACACAAAAAGCACTTTTTTTACTAAACACTACCCGATTTTACTTTTTCAAAAGCACCTTTTTCTCTAAACCGCCTTATTTAGATATATTATATATACCTTCATAGGAGTGACATTATATGTAGATACACCCGTTATTGGAGTAGAGCTCCGATTTTCAGCAGTGTAAAAGGCAAGGGCACTCTCTCCTGGCTTTACTCTTACCTACACAGGAAGCCACACAACATTTCCAGGAAACAAAAAATGCATTATGTCCAGATATTAAACAAAAGAAGACATAATGATAGTGTCAATAAGGGCACCTCTCGTTGTGTAGGAATAAACTTCCAAGGCATTCCATCAGCAACGTCGGCATTAAATTGTACAACCACCTCCCTAGCAGATTCAAGCAACTTTTATGCACCTCATAAAAAAGCATATATTTATTCATTGCAATTAAAAACAAAACATCAGTCATAGGGCCGGATAAGTATATCATATCCTATTTAAACAATGTATTAAAGAAGTTCTGGCAAATAAAACTAAACCACATTTGACTTTTTTGCTGAAGATGTTGAGTTTTGACCAATGTTTGTTACCAATACATTTTACAGACATATGAATCTGTACTTTTATAAGCTTGATCTAAAGAAAGAAAACTGTTACTCCGTATATTGCTTCCAAGCTATAAATCATTGTTACAAATATATTATTTGTCATAGTTCAATATTTTGAAACAAAATATTCAAACATGGGCAACCTTTGTAGGATGGATGTAGTTCTTTTGTTGAGTTCCTCATAAAAGGAAAATGAGCAACCATAATATGCAACCCAACATTCTTTAAGAAAAAAATTATCCATATAAAAGGACACTTATAAGAAGGGGTCTTGAATGGATGTAGAACTCAGATAAAAGCCTCCTCACTTCCTATGTTATCCAATGACAACAGACCTGAACTGATTTGGGTTGGACCATTGGTGAAACTCAACACTGATGGGCACTAAAGGGGAACAGGAGTTGGCTCACATTATTCACAGAATTAGAAGTGATCTTGGATTTTATAATGTTTATTTGCAGACTGATAATCGAACTAAAGAACTGTGTAACTTATACAGTATGTCTCAGGGAGTTAGCTCACATTATTGAAGAATTCGAATATACAATATAGAGAGGGAAAGAGATTCCTAACTTTTATTTTTGCTAATCCTTTGCTCGAAAATTATTGCATGGTGTTTTTTTAGTGTACTCCATTAAACCAAAATTATTATTTTTAAAAGAAAAAAGAAAAAAACTATAAGGTACCAAAAAACAATATATTTGCATGGGCTAAAACATATTTAAGCCATAAAACTAAACCTGGTGCTGACAGTTCCATCCTTGGCATGCCGAGCAATCTTTTCTTCAACGCTCTGCAGACCATAAAGACAACCAACACATCAAGAGTGATAGACATCCACTTATGGTAAATCAATGAACTCGGTTAGAGTAAAAACCAATTGTACGGATCAATAGTTAACTTAACTATTTTAGCTAGACATATATAAAAAAAGTATTTATGGCTATTATCATTTCACAGAAGATTCGAAATATAGATGGGTGACTATTCAGAACATAAATACTTTTTAGGGGGGGAAACTAATGTATATTTATGGCTAAATCATTACTCACTCAAGTATACCTCCTTACGTGTAACTGTACCCCCATAGCCTGTAGCTTGGCAGAACCTCCTATACAGAGGAACTGCTGCATAACTCAATCCTACCATCCCAAAAACCAAACCTGTCAGGTAAAATAACATCTTCTTTGATTTCTTCTCTACGGAAGCTGCTTTAGTAGCATATTGGTGCTGGAAGTTCAACAATGAACAAGATGTTCCTATACTATGCCTTCCCGAATTGGAGAATATGATATTGGTATCAACTAGTGATCTGAACTCATGCCTTGACAACAAGCTGCCAGGTCCAAAACACCCATGGAGCAGTAAGAGCAGTGAGAAAAACAATAGCGAGAAGGTTGGAATATTAAATTACCAAAAGAGCATCTCAGCAAAAATGTATATAATATTTTAGATAACACAACAGATTAAAGAGTACTTATGAATTATGATTTAGGAGAAGAAATGAAAATATAATTTTCTAGCAAAATAGAAAAATAATATTAATACAGTGTAGCTTTATTTACATATTTTTACAAATGATACTTTTTATTAATAACTGAATGAGTATGTAAAAATAAATAATCAATGCATTTCAGGGCAATGGTTTTTTTATTTTTAACACCAATTATTTAATTGAAAATTCACTCTGTACACTTTTCTGCGAGAAAATGCTCGAACTGTTATATGATCCCCAAACACTCCAAAAGCTCCACTTTGTAGCTTTATGTAAATAGAACTAGATCTTTTATAATGGTGCATTTGGAGCTTTTAAAAAGCTCCAAATGGAGTGCACCAGAAAACCTGCGCTCAACGCTTTTTAAAGCTATCAATGCTCTGCATAAACTCTCCCAAATTGAGGCTAATTCAGGAATGATTTATTCATTTCAAGGAAACAAATACGATAACAGTGAATCACAATACTTCTAAGCATATATACATATAGATGATTTCATAAAAACGTGTAAATGGCTCACCTGGATGATGATAATGATGATGGCTGAAGAAGAGTTCTATTATAAGAAAGAAGCACTCGAGTGCGTCCAACACGAAGAAGTGACATTTTTATTGACGAATCAATTCACAATCATCTGATGCAACAAAGATTTATAGGTTTAATAAATCTTCATTGGGTTGTCTCCAAGTTAGTGTAGTCAATCTAGTACCATACTGCCATCTAAAAATATGTAACTAGGTGCGAGGTTTGTAATGTCAGTCTGTCAGATAGCCACTTCTTTATGAACAAATTTAGCGGGTATATATACTAAAAAATAAAATAAAAAAGGTGATGACAATTATTGTAATTTTTATAATCATGTTCTGTAACTTTACGAATACATGGTAGAGGATGATTGCTCATTTGGTAGTCTCCCAGTTACTTCTTAGGGTCCAAATCGAGAAAGACGCCAATATGGTAAAATACAAGACTGGAAACTTAGACAACTTAAAACTTATTAATGTCGAGTTATTACGTTCTACAATAAAATAAAAACGTCATATCTTTACGAAAACATGATAAACGTTAATATCTTAGAAATTGAATAATGAACTCCCATAATGTTGATTTATTATTAAACTCAACATCTCAAACCGTAGTCACCAAGTAGCACCGGGAAGGAAACGGAAACGGGGACGGAAAAGGGGACGCGGAAACTCTAAACTCAAAATATCAAGATACGGGTACGGCAAAGGAAACGTCGAACTAAAAATTAATTTTTACTAGTATAAGTAATGTTACGGTGTATTATGTTATCAATCCCTACCGAAGAACCTGACCCACTGCCAGCATCACTAGAAGACCCACTAACTTCAATGCTTCCCATACTTCAAGATTAAAAAGATGAATCACTTATTGTGACAGCAATTTAATACTCTGGCAGCAATTAATTTAAAGCTTACCGCCTCACAAATAAGCGGCAAGGGATATCCTGTTCTTCAAGCCTTCAATGCAACACCAGAGCCTTTGTGTCTTTCACAAGGGTTCGTCGCTGGCAGCTTCAACTCTTCAATCGTTCAAGTCCGATGCAGACTGTCTGACTTTGTTGTTCGAGTCGACTGGGGACTGGGGAGTCGTGCAGAAGGATTGCGGACGACGTTCGTTTGCGGATAGAGTGCGGCACAGCAGGAATGGTATCCTTCAGATTCAGAAAGAAACGCATATAATGAATTAAAAAAACGTATCAGAAACGTTTCCCAACCCGGCCCAAAAGCCCAATAGCCTAGAAACGTTTCCTGGCCTTTCCCGACGTTTCCCCAGCGTTTCCCTTCGTTTCCCGTTTTCGAAACGTTTCCGGGACGGAAACTTGAAGGAGATAGGCGTTTCCGTGCTTCCTAGGTCACCAAATGACAACATGCATTTATATTTGGATTTATGTGTTTCATGTTTATTAAAAGTTATACGTAGTAATTATTATTGAAATAACACAAATAAGACAATTTTACCCTTCATTTTCGCATCATAAAGAATTTGATGCTCTATATTTATAGCACGTATAATTATCACCAGCTTTATGATTGATTTCTTCAGAATACAATAATATTACAGAGTACCTATGTATATTACTCCGTATTATACCAAAAGGCCGCCTTACATACTGAATATATCAGTTATTCATACCTGAAAATGTTACAAGTCCACCCTATATAACTCCAAATCCGCCTTATTTATAACATTATGATACAGAGTAGGAAGAGCATGGGGCGGGACCGGTCTTGGGCCCACGGGTTAGGGCTGTCGTTATAGTTTAATTATTATTATTAAGTTAATGTTATGTTTTAGTTTGGGCCTATTATTAGTAGAGTAGTTAGTTGAGTTAATTTGGGCTTAATTAGAGTTTAATTAATTTGGGCTTGATTAGGGTTTCTTGTAGAAGGCTATTTATACCCCTCGCCAGGTTTCATTCTGATTATCTTGGAATAAAGTTAGAGTTTAGCCTTTTGGCTTTGGGCAACGGTATTTTTATCGTTGATTATCTGGGCAACGGTTCACCCTGCTGATTTCTATTTTTCTGTTACACATCACATTATGGCAGAATATGTAATTTCTTGATTATTTTTTAAGTAAAAAAATACGCAGTTCGGAAAAACTTATTCATACATATTTTCACAAGACTGATACACATGTTAATGGTTATATCTATTTTAACAGATATAGACATCTATAACTCAACTATATCAGTCTAATAGAACTTGAAGTGGTATTCAGCACAGTGACTAAGGGGGGTGTCCCCAACACGGATTTTAAATAATTTTAAAGGATTGTAGATTCCATAGATTTTAATGGAATCTTACAAATTCCATGAGATTCATATGGAATTCTATTTCATGGAATCATATGTATTTCAATGGATTTTAATAGATTTGAAATACAAGCCGGTGCAAACCCCTGCCCTAATTCCGAGCCCCCACACCTGCTCAGCCGCTGCAAACCGCCGTCGGAAAAGTCATCGGAATATTTTGATAAAAAAAATTATTCGTTCTTTTTTTTTAAAATTCATTATGAAATGTTAACGATAAATTGGCTTCAATCTAGTCATATTTAAGGAATAACCTCAAATTGAAATATAACAAACTACGCAATTGATATTTAATCCATAATCAAAGCACAACCTTAAACAAATAGGAACCGTGCTAAAGTAACAAAAGGAATACATTCAATCTATGTAATCTTCATTGATAACATCCGTCCACATTTATTGTGCAATACCGTTTCTCGATTGATTTGCATATTGCCTTTGTTCAACTGTGTTCTAATCTTTAGCGATTATTCCTAATTAGAGAAGTAACCAAAATTACTCCTGTTTTTTTCCTCCCTAATTCCTTTGCCCAAAGCCATCATCACCAAAATCGAATGTCTGACAAGCTTAACAGCTTGTCCAGACTGGTGGAGAAGATCTGCCAGAGGAAGTGCAACTTATGTTAAAACCATCCATATGGTTTTTTTTATCCATTCTAAAATTAATACATAAATTACTTAAAGAGAATAGATTTAGTTCAAACCTTCAAATAGAGACTGACAAATATATTTGTCAGTTTAGCTCTTCAACAACATTTTTAATTTAATGCTTACTATTTAAGTCTGAGTAATCCACTACTGTGACACATGACCATCACAAATATTAATGTGTATGCAGCAAATTTAACAAGAATCAAACTAGAAAAAGAGATAGATTACAATCACATCACCTTAACCTCATATAAGGGTATACTAATTTCAGTTTAAGAGAATAAGAGAACACTTTAGCTTAAATCAATGGAAAAGTAATGGAAACCAAATTTATTGAATGCTTATATCACAAAGCTATGGAAACCCAATTGAAAACAATAATAGAACAAAAAGAATGTACGTGTGATTAAAAAATGAGTAGAGAGAGTACCCAGGGTGAAGAAGGTACGTCTGATAAAAAGTAGAGAACAAAGAATTTACCAGGGAATTGAGATGATTAATCAGCCCGAGTGATAAAATTTGAAGGGTGAAGAAGGTGGAAGATGGATGATGGAAGAGAATACCCAGGGTGAGCGTCGATTGAACTGTGGTTGTGAGATTGGGTTATTCAATTTTTGGGCCTAAAAGTACATCAAAGTAATCAATAATAAAATCCATTGGGATTTTGATACACATGATAATGGTTATATCTATTTTAACAGATATAGACATCTATAACTCAACTATATCAGTCTAATAGAACTTGAAGTGGTATTCAGCACAATGACTAAATCCCAGAGATTTTGAAATGATAGAGTTGTATATGCCTCTCCGGGCTCTACTTTTATAAAGAATTATTTATTTAAATCTTTTGTGTATATTTATTCAGAAATTTATGAATTGATTTGGATATTAAAATCTAGATATCACCGTTCCAAGCATATCAAACAAGCATATGTATAAATAGAAATTCATTTGCGTATCCACATACCCTGAAGCTATTATGCAAAGTGTGAAGACTGAGACTAATAATGTAATACCTGCGCTGCGCTGCGCTAGAACGTGGATTCTTAGCTCGGATTGCGTCCGGAAGAAGAATAGAGCCACAGAAGCAATAAAGCGGAGAATCAGCGTCAATCGGATATCGGAATTGCAGCCTCTTCCGTTCTTCTGATGGACAGAGTCTATTTCCGGCCTTATTCAATCGGACACCAGAGTCTATTCTTCCGATGGAGTAATACGGAGTGGTTTGTTTGGGCCCCTAAATTGTAAGACCCAGACTGGCCCAACTGGCCTCGAGCCCGGCTCTGCCCCTTATGCATGAAAGGTTTTTTACAGGGATAAAGATCAAATATGACACCGAAGGTGTATTAGTATCTCAATTTAGACATTAACGTTATTTTTGGAACAAATGAAACATTCAGAAGTACTTTTTCGTTTCAATTAAGTCACTTAAAAATGAGAACCGTTTGTTTAATTTTTACTGTTTCTTTTTTCATTAATTTCTTCCTGTTCTTTTATTTCTTCAATGATGATGACTTCCAATCCACTCCAGACCATTAAAAATCCGAAGTAGAGTTGCAACGAGAAGGAAATGTCGGGTCAACTTATTGAATCTTAGAAATGCAAGGTTAAACTTAAAGAAGAGATTGTGCGATTGGGATATAAAAAGCTGAAGAAAATAGGTCTGCAATGAACATTAAATCATACTGATTTTTTTTTTCCGACAAATGGTTAATTTAAGCACTGGAATTCAATTTTATTACAAATCTAGTTAATTCCACCCTACAATCCACCAAAACCGAGTGAAAAATCTAAGCAAGTGCACAGAAAAAATGCTTTGGCAAACCTGTGCGGTTTTGGCAACCTATGACTCTTCCCCGTTATGCACGTTCCTCTGAAACCTTCAAGCTCTTATTTGAATTTGAATTGCTGATAAATGGAATCTTAAAGAAGAAAATTGAAAGATGATGGAAGCCTCTGCCAGATCGATTGACACAAAACTACGAAAACTTCTAACCTAATACATAGTATCCATTATCGCAATTGCTTACTTTTTTGGGAGGGGATACGTTGTTGGGTTAGTAAGGGAGATTGGAAAGTGTGGAAGTGGATCTGGAGTGGATAGCGAGAGAGAAACGATCACTGTTTTCATTTCAACACCGTTAGTAAGTGTCCATAACTTACTAAAGAAGTTGATTTTGTGTTTATTTGGTCCTTCTAAAACGTTAGTGGCCAATTTGAACTTCACCTAAAACCATAGTGTCCAAAATGGTCTTTCCCCCGTTTTTTATTTGAACAAACAAGCTATATTTACGGCCTCCAAATTTCTATTCCAATTATTAAATGAATGCAATAAGCTATACGGAGTAATTATATTACTCCGTAGTGAGTATATTACATGATTTGTGTGCATTATTACAGTGGCGGGACTACGAGAAAATATTAAGTAAGGGCACAATCACATAATGTAAATCATCACATTTAGGTCTGTCAATGGGTCAGATCCGGGTCGGAATGTAGTGTTCCAGATCCGGACCCGCTAAGTTAATAATGGACCCGGACTCGACCCGTTTACCCGACGGGTCTGAAAATTTAGACCCAGACCCAACGGGTCTCCGTATCAGGTCGGATAGACCCACCCGCCAAGTATGATACGAACACCATTATAAACTTTGTGAAAATAACAAGACATGTATGTGAAATATAAAGCAAAGTGTACAAATTTAAAAGCAAAATATATCTTTACTTTTCAAAAAAAAATCAAGGTCTCTTATAGAAAATTAGTATTTTTATCTAATAAAGTATCAGTTCTTGTACATGCATATAGCTTCACACTCTGCGTTGCTTTTTCTCGCACAAAAAGCTCATAGAATAAACTAGAAATTAAGTCATAAAAAGGTCTTTTGGACTACTAAGAGTATAAAATCATATGTAGTATTATACGTAGTTGTTGAGGTTTAATCCCGTCGATCCGAAAGCCCAACACAGACTTTGGATATATCAGGAAATGGACGATAATTCAGTATGTAAAAGAAATATAAAAGATGGATAATCGAATGCTCAAAAACCCACTTGTATTAATTAACCTGTTTGATTACAATGAAATTTCCCGAACGGCATGCCGGATCTGTGCTTAATACAAGAAACAAGAGTTAATAAGGTTATTCTAGGGCTTGAGTATCAAAATGCTAACCCTTACAATGATATTAAACCTTCTATTTATACTAATGGAGAGTATGGGACGCTTTATGCTGATTGGCCGACGTTCCACCGACTTGATCACCCATGCCTCCACTTACTGATGTCACAATCTAGCATTGATTGCGCCCCGACCACTTGCTGGTTGTCCGTTGCCCGAACGGGATAATGGGTCCTGTGTAAAACATTGTTGATTTGGCCTAAGTATGATGTATGACCCGAACCCCGTTCGGTATGAATATCTCACTGGGCCTACTTATCATAGGATAGTGGGCTCGTTGTTTGGGCTGGATATCCTGGGCCTTTAATCCGGGTATTGGACTTCTAGACCAATATCCCAACACGAGTCCCCCACTTCCGATGTCTCGAATGATAGTGAGTGCATTAGGAAGTATAAGTGCTATGAAATAAATGTCGAATGGCGATCGGGATACAGAAATGGTCAGTTCCCCATACTGTGATTTGACGACTGTCGTTTGAGTTATCCCATATTCGTCATGATTGTTGATCTTTGCTCTTCCATGCAACACGTGTTATTTCAAATGGTTCAGGTGACGTGTCTCTATTTGATTGGTCTTTGATACGGCGCTTGTAGGGCTATAAATGAGCTTTTAGCTCCTCGAATCCGGGTTTCGAATTTTCAATCTCTTCGTGCCTTAGCTCTCTGCCTTTTCTCTCAACCCCTTCAAGCCTTTCGTGTCCAGGTACTTCTCATCCCTTAATTCTCTCTTTTCTTTGATCCGATCGATATGAGTTCTCAACTGCGTTTCGATTCGGAAATGGCTTCCCAAGGGGAAGACCATGATGTGGAGGTTATCACCGTCCCTTTTGTTGACGGCTCCGATGCGGCGACGGCGGAGACTAGGGCAGAGACGAAGGATCCCTCCGGCAGTTCTTCTTCCTCCGGTGAAGATTCCGACGACACCAACTCTAATGATGAATTGTCTTCTATGGTGGCCGGACGTCCAAGCGATTTCCCTCGTCACACGCTTGACCTAAGACTGATTAGGGTGAGGCGGCAAAAACTGACTTCTCACAACAGGGCCGAAATCCCAGCCCTAATCCCAGACCCAGTGGACTTCCGATTGCGAGCTGGGCTTCACCCAATGCGCCATACCCATGGGATGGTTGTAGTCCACTTTGATTCAGTTAGGGATGGGCTTAGGTTTCCATTGCATTCCTTTTTCGTTTCATTTTTCAATTTCTACGAAATTGTACCGGCCCAAGTCATGCCGAACTCCTATCGGGCAATGGCGGGCTTTATTTGCCGTTGTAAAGATGCTGGTTCCTCGCCGACCCTAGAATTATTTCATCAATTTTTTAAAGTGCCCCCCCAACAAACACATGGATATCTGGCTACTAGTGCCCGAACGGGACATATCCTGTTTAAGGGGAATCCGACTTCAATCAAGGGTTGGAAAGATCGGTTCTTCTTTGTGTCTGTCCCGGACGGCCTGATCCCTCGCAAATGGAATGCCTTCCCTCGCAAATCTCCCGATCCAGTCCTTACTGAGGAAATTTACAAGGATGTGTTCATTGTGGAGAAAGACAAATGTTGTGATATCATGAGTTACTTGACTCCCGATCGGCTTGTCGAAGCTGGGATAGGTACTGCCCGTTCTCTTGGGTTTACTTGTTTTGAGAATCAAGTGCCATGGTCCAGGCGGTCCTTCCCGTGCGAGAAACGTTCTCTTCTTCTTTGTTTCCCACGTGATAAGGCCGCTCGGTACTAACATTTTCCTTTGTTATTTTTTAGCTCCCAATCCAGACGCACCAATGGACAACAGCCGTGTTCTAGCAGCCGGTGGGGTCGGGAAACGGAAGAAGGCAAGGAAAAATCCCCAACCCAATCCTTCCACCACCAATGCTCAAGATGTCGGGTCTTATCAACCCGTTCAGGAGCCACAACCGCTTCAACAGGTCCCTCATCAGGATCAAGTTGATGCCATGTTGATCGATGATCGGTTCAGATCTGATCAGCTGCATCAATTCTCTGAGCATTTCCAGGCTGCTCAGGAGACTAACATGACTGCAGGTGAGACCAACACCGTCCACCTTTCTACGCAGGTCGAACGGATCTCTCTGGCAGATCCAGTTCACGAAATGTTGGAGAAGGCTGGTTCTCCTGCAAGCCAGATTTGGTCCACTTCTTCGTGGTTCAACAATTTTGCCGTTCCTAAGATGCCGGTCGAGCAATCCGAAGAATGCCTGACTTTGGCAGCTCTAAAGGTATCTCATTTTTTTCCTTATAGTTTCTCATAGTTTAAATTCTGTTCTACACCATCTCACTTCTCGAACGACATTCTGTAGGTTGGGCTCTACAGCCTGCAACTGAGGGAGGCTCGACTGGCTAAAGAGTGGGACCTGATCGTCGCTCAGAACTCTGCAGAGCAGAATGCAGCTGCAACCTTTGCCGCTTTGGAGACCGAACGGAAGGCCTCCGTGGAGGAGAAGCAACGCCTCGAGTTAGAGCTTGGTGAGCTCAGGGTCCAGCTCGGGGCCTTCCAAGCTAAAGTTTACGCTGCTGAAGCTGCTTTGGTGAAGTTCGAAGAGACCGCTCCCCGTATCCCGGACGGCCCTGCTAAGGTGAAGGTTGATCTGTCCGCCGTCCGGTAGGCATTTAAAGGTCTGAGGAGTTTGTTGCCCTGAAGAAAGATTATGCGCAGCAAGAACTCCCGGCCACCTTCGGTGCTTATCTCGGTCGATTCTCCACGGGTGATGCTCGCTGCAGCGAGGGGGTTAAGCTGCTCGACCAGGATCGAAGGGGCAAGAAATTCAATGACTCCTTGGCCCGATCTCTTTATGTTATGGGCTACCAGCATATCCTGGCCCCCTTTGTGGCCAAGCTGCAAGAGATGCTAGGGAGGCTGATCGAGCTTACCGATCTTCCCCAGGTGCCCATCGTTGAAGCCCAATTTGAGAAATATCAAAGGGACTTACAACGGGTTGCTGATCGTGAAGTGGGGAGAGAGCCTGATCCCCCTACTGATTCATATGAGGAGGAAGGCGATGAAGAAGAGAATAGAGAGGCCTCTGGCCAGTAGATTTAGAATTTCGTATTTTAGCAATTGTAATCCCTTCCCCCT